TCTATCACTCTATTGCAATGGTATATTTACTAGATTCAATAAAATTTCTCCATTTAAAATGATAATTATTAATAGAGATTGCTATATTTAATTAAAAATTATAATTCATGATTTGATTGTGGGAAAAATTGAAAAGTTTCATCCTTATTTGAAAATATGCTTTCATGCTTGCAAAATCTTAAATCTACGAAGACATTGCATAAATTCTGTGAAAGTGTAGTGGTCGAAATAAATTGAAGTATAACCGTAGTTTCTTAATCTAGCGTCATGTGGGGATGTAGCTCAGATGGTAGAGCGCTCGCTTAGCATGCGAGAGGCACGGGGATCGATACCCCGCATCTCCACGTGCTCAGTTCCCTGATTCTATTTTTAGAAAATGAAATATCCGTGGTCGTCTCAGCCTTACCGCCGTCTTGTCTCTCGCCAATATATGTGGATTTCGCTCGAGCCTCTATTATGTTTCTCAAAATGAGACCCTCTTGATCGCTCAACCTTTTCGCAGTGTTGTCTTTCTCCGCTAACAATCTGCAGATTTCGTCAGAGACTCCGATAGAAGACTTAATTCAACGGACCCCTACGATCAGAACATTTCGGAGGTTGGGTAAGATAAGTCATCCGGGAAAGCTCGGTGTTCACAAATCTCGTGCTTTCGCCTCCAAGTAGTCATTTCACCACCTTGCCAAGCGACCAGAATTAATTTCTCACGAAGGAATTCTTTACCCTCCATCTAATCCAAATGTCTTCACTGACACCTCACCTTACATAACTATCATCCATGAAGAGATGCGACCTTTCATCCAGAAACCCACAGATAATACTAATCCTAAAGATCAAGTTCGGCACTCAGCGGGGGACGTTTCACGGTGTGTCATAATCACCGTTACAATATTCTTATAAAAGGATGGAGTAGTATAGCTGCAGTGTGTTGTGGTGGGTAAGCTCCATATACATTTTTTGGGAAAATTCTTTGCAAGGACGAAGGAAATTGTCATGTGAAGCGAAGTTTTTATACACTTGCTGACGAGAAGTACAAAATTGCGAGCAGACGACAGAGTTTTTAATACAGTAAACCTCATTCCGATAACTGGTCCAGTTTCTGGTCTTGGGTTGGCTTCACCATCAGCAACTAACGGAATACGCGTAGCAACAACTGACGCCGGCAGCATTAGCTCGTCAATTTCCCAAGAAGTCAAAAGGTCAAATACACCACTCTGCACATGCAAGATATAAAGTTAACGGCAAGTAGAAATTTCCAGCTATAAAAAATGTTGCAAATCTAGATCTATTTTATGACATGACGTGAAACTTCATAACAGAGCAGGTCTCCATGCCTTCCTATCTCTCCACCTAGCATAAAATAATTGAGCATGCTATCGCTCTCTCAACTTCAGATGCAGTTCTGGTGTGCATCTTTCGAATTGGCCAACTATTTAATACTTCAAAGATACTGTTCTGGGATGCACCTATAAAATCTGCCAACTGTCTGAATGTCCCAACAGCATCTAACACCATGACAGAAAAGAAGCATGGATCTGTACATCCCTTTGTAATCTTTTTACCAAATTGTTGGTCCAAGATTTGTTGAAGGGGAAGAAGAGAAAAAATACCATTCTATAGCTGTAAGGTGGTGTATGACGTTTTGAGTTCTATGAAAAGTAGACGAGCATAACTGGGAGTCAGCGTTTGAGCTGTTGCTACGCATACTCTGATAGTTGCTTGGTGAAGTCTATCCAAGAGCATCAACTACTTCATACTAGTTATTCTCTTCTTTCTCCTCTACAAAAACTTTGTGAGAAATTTATTTGGTACATCGATGTGATAAAGAGTTTTTTTTCAGTTACACAGCTCCAATGTACAGTATTATGGAGTTTTTGTTTATAATGTTTTCAGGGTCAGTTTGAGGTCCTCTCTCTCCTTAACGTCTACCTGCTGTATTTGAGTCAGAGAGGGGATGATTTTCGAAGGTGTTCAAGTCGTTATTTATTTATGCACGTAGAATGATTTGAACACTGACATTACTGCCCGTTACAGAAAAATATATCATAATCAAATTTCCACCATATCACTGAAACAGAAAATTGAACTCTTTTGGGACATGTCTTCCACTTCTGATTCCAGATTCAGACATCCACGCAACCACAAGACTATGACTTTCTAGACGAGTACTTTCTGTGATGCTAGGTAAGCACGTCCTGATTGATGCTGTCATTTCTATCCAGCATCTCTCAAAATACAGTTGGACGCGTTATTCCGAGAGAGTTCCGAAAATAGACAAGTCTTTAATGCAGTACATTCTTTAAGGCAGTAATGTTCAGGTTACTATCAAACAAGTTCACAGTACGCGAAATCTAGATGGTTCCAGCACGAGTGACGTTGTGAACCCATTGATTCTGACTCTACATGAATATGAGAATTCTTGCAAGCATCCAGAAAAGGCTGGAAATCTAAATCCAGCGTAATATTCCGTCAAGAATAGTTATCGTACTCCATAGCTTTTAGAAGTATATACAGTACTGTACTTTAGAGCTCGAGAAGAGTAGAGGTGCGAGCTGAGTGCAATTTCGCGTATAACGGATTGCATGGAGCGCCTAAGAAAGTTCAAGACTTCGACAGAATCAAAAGTGAATTGCGATTCAATACAATATATATGAACTAAAGTAACAAAATCAATCAGATTGTTGTTACTTTAGTTCATACATATTAATCTTTTTTATAATCTTTTTTTTTCTGTAATAAATTATATTATCTATTAAAATACACGTGTTTGAAAAATTAAATGTACATTGATTCACCTAAACTTCATACAAAAGATAAAAAAGATTTTTATCTCTATCGTAATGTTAAATTTGAATGATATTAAATGAAATATTGAAAAATAATTATTTGAGGTTAATATATAGGATCAAATTATTTTTTGTTATGATATAAACATAAGAATCTATACATACTAGAGAACCAAAAAGTTTTTGGGGAAATCAATTGTATTGAAATTTGATTTGAGATAACTTACAAATGATAATAAAAAAATATGATTATTAAAATATTTTTTACTCATTGGCTATATAAATTATAATTTATTATAGATAAAATTGACTTAGATATCTAGAACCATTGCGTTATGGTCAAGCATCATATCAAAATATTCATGTTGAAATTCATAAAGTCATATACTTGCTTCAAAACGACAAATTTTATTTTATCACACAAATATTCGATTTTTTTTAAGTTTGAAAGTTGAAATTTCCAAGTTAAGACTCATAAAATACACTACGTGAATGTCTGAAAAAAAAATTGACTGATAATATCTTTTTAAAGAATTTTAATATAAAATATAAAAAGAAATTATCATTCATCATCTCATCATGAATTGTCATCCATAACTAAAATTTTATTTTTGAAGGATTTCATGATGGTGTAAAGGTTGTGTACTCTGATCATATATATAAAAATATTTAAAAATTTGATAGATTTTACAAGAATAATATTTATTTAATATTTATTTAAATTATTGGAAAGTATCTAAGAAATAATTTTAATTTAAAAAAATATGAAATGTTTTTAAGTTTAAAAGGTAAAATTTTAAAAGATTATTACAACAAAGATCCATTTGTTAAACATAAAAACACTACATGAAGATAAAATAAATAATTATTATCATGTCTTGTATAAAAAATAAAAAAATAAAATAAATTTAATTAAATAAATTCTAAAAATATACTTGATAATAATTGAATAATCATGAAAAATTAAAAACCCATTGCGCTTAATATATTGAAAATTAGTGCAAATTTAAACTTGATTGATTCAAATTATCAAATTTAAATGTTTTCAATTCTCATTTCAAATTAAATCTTTTTTCTTATAAATATTTTTAAAATTGATAAATGAACAATAAATGATAGAATTTTATCCCAAATTTTTGAACAAACCTGATGATCAAATTATCCAGACGTTTCATATTATCTAGCAGTTTTGAAATTGTCATATTTTGTCTTAGTTTTAAAAAAACTTATATGATGGAAAAAATAATTTGAATTTCTTTACTTCATTATGGGCTTAAATTATAGAAAAGAACACATTATATACAACATATTTAACTATTTTATATAATAATTTTAAATTTTTTTAGTAAAAATGTTATTTGACAACTTTGTAAACCATTATATCAACTTTCATTAACTCATTAAATTTGTTGTTTGAAAGATGGAAAATTTTGATTTCATTTTTATCTAGTACTTTGAATTCTTTGTACATTGATAATATTTTGGAAATTAATACCGAATAAAGTACTTCAGCAAGCATAGCAACTATTAAAACCCAGAAAGCTGGAACTGAAAAATACTGAATCAACTTTGCTATTTTTTGAAAAGTGTAAAAATAAAAAGTGATCTAAATAGTGTGACAAGTAGGCAATCAAAAGAAATCTTCAATAAAACACAATGCATGAATGTACTACAAATTATTTAAGCATATGACATCTTCTAACATGTACATATTAGAGGTTCTTTGTAAATTAACAAAATGTGAAATATTTAAAGTACATGAATAAATACATTGAAGAAAGTGATATCCATGATAACTTTTACGTGAAGATTCATCACTATTTGATAATTCTCACCCTCGAAAAAGTTCTACACACCAAACCAATGGTTACACACGTGTTCCCATCATTTTGACCTTACATTTCTCACTTTGCGTGAATGTTCACACATTCCTGTTTGCCTTGTCTCCTTCTCTACGACAGTCATTAGTCGGCTCGTCTCCGGAAGAAATCAAGGAATCTAGTACTGTCTGTAACGACATGCCACCAAAGAGCCATAACTCCTCATAACCGTCGATCAACGAATCTGGTAAGCACAGTCCAACCGGAAGTCGTCCCACAGCACGTCGCGAGAACCGTGCCCTTGCCCCGTCCGACACTCAAAGATCTCGTCATCGGGCGATCCCAATCAGTTCTGAGCTGGACGGGCAACGTCCGACGGGGCTCTCCGCCCCTGGAGTGCGCACGTGTCGACCTGGTGTCGTCTCCTGTCCCTCTCCCCATAAACTCGTACAGAAGAAGACGTTGCGAGGCGGTGACGGGCAGCGCGCCAAGATGAGTTTGAATTCTCCCGTCGATCCGCGCTTCCCGTCCCGTCGGAGACCCGGAGCGAGCCCCTTGTGCCGTGCGCTCGTCCGCGTTGCGAGAGAAGCGTGCGCCTGTTTGAGAATGTCGGCCAGCGATTTCTGACTCCATCGGGCGACGGTCCCGTGTGCGTCATTATCACTTTTCTCCGCCGGGAGCCCGAAGAAGGACGGAGCGAAATCATCGTTTTTCTTCGAGAAAGTTGTGGTTTCAGGAGCGGAGGGTTTTACAGATGCAGGGAATGATGCGATCGAGTAGTAGCTCGTCGAACGCAGGTCTTTCGAGGTCTTGCTGCTGTCGGGACGGCTGGCGTCTTTCTGAGAGCGTCGGTGTCCGTTTTTCGCAGAGGAGTGAGCAGTTCTGTGACAGGGAAGCTACATGTTGATTATGCGAGAAACGGGTGGTTCTGGAGGTTCGTGTGGATTGGAGTGTTTGACATTGGAGCCCACGGAAGGCGTAGGATGCGGAGTATGAGGGCTGGGAGGACACAAGAGCGGAAAATTCTGGACACTAGGTGTATGTCGGTGTACGCTTAGTTTCGTGACCTTCTCGTACCTTTTTAGGAGATGGGTAACTTCACTAAAGCTCGAGTGGAGTGTCGAAGAAAGAAAGGATGAGAAGCAAGATGGAGTCGATTTGTCCGAGGTTTTGTAGGGTTTCGCGTACGTAATTACTTCAAGCAGGTGGGTTTTGGTGTAGGTACCAAGGATGGCCGGGGACGGCAATGAAGAAGGTCAGGGGGGAGAACCGCGGTTCACAACTTTGTTGCATCCGAACAGAGATTTGGCTACCAACTGGACGGTAGATGTAGGGAAGCAGCTTGAGACTTACTTGGCTGAGCTGGCCTCAATAGGCATTTTTGACGATGGTCAATGTCCGCTCAACTTTGCCGAAGGTTCGTGAACACCCTGTCCGATATTGTGGTTGCGAGCTCACATTTTCACACCATGAAAAAATTGCACGCCTGAATTAATATTTCGGAGCCGTATACTCAATCTCACACTCAAAAACAGAGGAAAAGAAAAAGCATGTTAACGTTTAGACTATGTTTCTATACACGACTGCCACGGTTTGCGTTGCTTGTGACTGAACCGCAGGGTACTTGTCGTTGATAGTTGTTTCTTCGAAGTGAACTGAGATTGAGAAAAGTCCAGTGATCGTCTCTAGTATATGGCCGATATATCTTGGGAAAATTTTTCTACGGGTGTTCCGCCAATGATATCTCTATATGAGTTTGTTGAGTTTGACTATGAGTGTATCGTTACAACCGTTGCTAAGGGCGTCTGTCTTTTTTGATGCTTACATACTCATGACCACTACCTAATTGGGTTGGGCAATCTTGCCATGGCTCAGCGGCATTGCTAATCCAAGGCTCGATTCAAGTCTACAGCAGAAAGGTCGAGTACCTTCATGCACTGGTGTTACAAGCCCTTAACTTCCTCGGGCAAAAGAAGTATGAATTCCTCGAGCGTCCTATTCACTTCTCTGTATTTGAAGATAAAGCGCATTGATTTACACACATGTCATCTTGGAGATTGCCACCAAGCTATAACCTGAGCGAGGTGCTCCCACAGGCAAGGAGAGGATGGCAGCTCATCTTCGCAAAATGGCGACACTAATGAGGACCTTGGGGAGGAGAATGAAGAAGAATTTCTAAATTTGGACGACATTCATGGTGGGCAATTTAATCTTTCGAATGAGTCTAATCCTGCAAAATCAAACATGAAACTTAGCTCCGTCTTTATAAGGAGGTTCTCGTTGATGTCCTTACATATGCTGAAGTTGAAATCAAGGCTCGTTGCTTATCTTCACATACTCAATAATGTAGAGTGCACTCCGCCGTATCCAAGTAGGTTATTTCTTTTCAATAAAGAGCCGTTCTGGATGGCATTGAGCCTTGAAGCCTGATCATGCTTTTTGTATGCTAGTTTCATATCTTCGAAGGCTAATATGTTCTAATTCGTGGTTTACAGAAGAAACAAATATAGACATTTTGGATGAAGGAGTTAGTTCAGTTCATTCTGCTGTCAAAATACCGGCAAGTCTACTCACCGTTGAAGCTGACCCTGTCGATATGTCTGGAGAAGCAGGAGAACTAGCTACCTATGAGGTAGGTCCATCCACGAATTCCGCGCGAAGATGGTCTTAGTCATTGTCCTTACCAGTTCATGTATCTAGAAGATCTTGGTCTATATGCTCGATGGGCTGGACCTATTTCTAATACTACTCAACTTTCCAGATTGCTACCAGTACAATGCACAGGATGTTCCTGCTTCTGGACCCCTGTGATTTGGAGACGGTCGACAGATTTCTGGATTATCCTAATGAAAGAGGTGAAAAGGGAGGAGTTCCTCCAACTCCTGGGAGTGCAATTCCCCAAAAAACTCCAAGGACGCAGGTTCTAACTCCTTGTGGACGAACTGGATCCGCCTTGAAGAGGGCAAATCCTGGTACTCCATATGCCAGTGAGGGTGGATGTGGTATTAATACTGAGAATGAGTGGCAAGGAGATGGTGGCTATGGAGATATGAATTGGGATGATCCCAACAAGGACCGACAAGATGAGGTTTGCAGTGCTGCAGGTGAAGTAGCCAAGGGTGCACAAAGCGATGATTACGTTGACCCTTGGGCTCCTCTGAACCCTCACGAACCTGGCACGCTTCCCATACAGCCTTTCAAAAAAGGTAAAATTGCTAGAAAACGCATAATCAGCTCAATGCTAGAATGTTGTTAAGTGATGGACGTGTGACAAGAGAACTTCTTGTACTTTGTCATGAGATTCCGCTTCAGCAGGATTCTAATTTACATCGATCGGCAGGGGTAACTCAAAGGAAGAAACCAAGATTGAAAAAGGGACGGAACATCCCTCCTGTGGCTAGTCGGACTGGCGTGTGTTTTCCTGAATTTCTCAAGGCCTTGCAAGCCCGAGAGCGGGTGGAGAGGGCGGATAGACGTCACTATGGACTTGACGAGATGCCCTCTTTCGAGAATGTAAGTTGATTGCTTAGCGGAGCATGCTGTGACCAGCTGAGTTTTTCACTCGACATACTGTGTCTTGATCTGTCGTTTCTTTCTGGTAAAAAGATTGAGGTGGACTGCATGCTAAAGAAGTGAGTGCTGCTGCATGTTGACAAACTTGTAATTGTATCTGGATGGGAATGCAGCTGCGAAGTTCCTTTCTAAATTCGGACGCAGGACTGCCGGCTGATGTGGCCAATGAGCAATTTGATGTCTTTGGAGATGAACCAGGAGAATCTGAACTTGAACATGATAACATAGCTGCCCCCGTATTTGAAGATCCAGATAACATTGAGAGTGTTACTTTGAATACCTCCCACATATTTGATCGTCCTGATTCACCGCAGGTACTGTTTCATGATTTTTTTGTACACAATTCTCAAGATCTTCTATATATTTTAGTGAGGTAGTAAGAATGGAGGTTTTTGCGATCATCGACAGAGTTATCAAATATCATCATGCTTTTAGTCTTAAAGCGCTAACAAACTTCCTCTCTTTTACTTTGTTTGTGTTGATAGCAGCGTGCTTCCAGTACAGTTTCTATGATTTTGTTGTACTCAACTATCAAGATTATTTGTATACATATCTTTAATGAGATATTAAGAATGGAAGTTGTCGCGATCATCAACAAAGTTACAATTTGCATCATGTTTTTAGTTCAAAAGAGCTTTGAATTTACCATTTGTTTACTTTGCTTGTGTGCATAGCAGCATGTTTCCAGGGCCACAGATAACTCAAATCCTGACTTGAACGTTCCATGTTTTGAGGATGGGAGAGGAGAAGAAGAACTTAGTTTTGAGGAACTATGCCGAACACATCTGGTGAGATACTTGATATAGGTGTTTTTACTGAAGTATTTCATTCGAGAAACGAGACTAATGTCGTCTGGTCGTTTCTCTTTTAACAGGACTCAATGCTTCGGAAGCTTTCTGAGGCACATGTGAGGACAGGGTTGGCAAGCCGTGTGACCAAGTGGAAGAACAAAATTGAAGCTACCCTTGTTGAACAGGTGACTGGAAGAACCTCTGTAGACTCATAAATTTCACGAATTTCTATGATGAATATGAGCTCCTCTAACTGCTGTTATTATCTATGCAGGATTCTCGCCCTCCCTTTGATATCCATGAGTATGGTGACCGTTTGCTCGAAGAGCTTGCCACAATAGCTGCGAGGAAAGAAGAGGAAGAAGAAATTCAAGAGTCTTTCACCTACCTTGTTCGTGGACAAGAACGGGATCAAGTGGCTAGATCATTTTCCGCTCTTTTGCAACTGGTCAGTTTTCCTTCCTTTCTCCTGAAGGACTAGAACCTCAACACTGTTGCACTGACTGTCACTGTATATCGCCAAATTTTTGTAGCTCTGAATATTGGTCTATTTGAACATTTATGCAGGTCAACAACGGGAATGTCACTATTGACAAAGGTGAATTTGGCAGTGAGAGCTACTGCTTTACAGGAGACAAGCCATTTACGGTCAAACTCCTCACTTCACAAAATCAACATGAGGGAATGTTCAAAAACATGATACCTGCCAAAAGTAAAAGTAAGGCGCCTCGACCTCACCAGTCGACCGACCGTTCTCGTGGTAAACAGCAGACGTTCCGTGTAGTGCATGAGAAGTCCTCCTTAGTTTCTAATCTTGGAAGCCCTGGGTGTCCCAGCGGTTCTCGGTCTTCATTAGCGATATCTGTATCCCCAGGTTCCGTGAGGAGTGGTCGAAAAAGAAGGCAAACGGTAAGTTCCAAACGCGGAAATCCCGAGAAAGAAAATAGAATCTCATCCACACCTCTCCATACAACTCCTTCGAAACTGACACCCGACGGTAGACATCGGAGTAGGAGAAAACCTCTGGTGAAACTTGTGCAGTAATGTTGTAGAGTCAGCCCATGTATTATTCGTAGATATGAAAATGTATACTACTCTCACTAGTCAAGCACAGATACCGGGTAAGAAAGCCCTTTATGTAGGCGAATACCCCCATTCACCGGGTTTCTTCTGTATATTAAACAATTTATCTAGGACAAATTGGCATTTGCCAGTCACTGCCAGAGCTCCTCAGGGCCAAGAATATTCAATGTAGGCAGGAAGTGCATTTATTGAATAAGTTTTGCCGAAGTTGATGGGTTCAATCACCATAAGATTCAAGCTGTGGTCTCTGTACAGTAGTTACACAAATGGTGTTGCAAAGTGAATCTAATTAAACTTCAGCCCTATAAGCTTACTATAGTTGTAGGCATGGGCGAAAATCTTTAGTTCCAATTATCAAAGAAAGTTTTATGTGTAATATATTCATCTGTACATTTACACTGAATAACTAAATTGATTCTCTGGGCACTGTCTGTTATCTGATGTGTACTTTTAGAAAGTATACACGACAATGGCACGCCACAGTTACTACGTGATTGGTGAAGGTTTAAGCCAAGGATGCTTGGATGTCTCTTCAAGCACAAAGTAATCATTCAATACATTATGGAATTAACTTTCCAATTCTTCCAATGTTTCCTCTAAGCACAGATTGAATATGTATATCCACTGCAGAAGGTATCAGGGATAGCTCGTAGTATGGCAGGAAGGAGGGTTGGACAGAGCAAATTTGGACCAGATGTTGGTGTTGGTCGAGATTCTCGTTGTCAGGCGGACTAACATGCGAGTAGGGTGAGTTTCGGATGCCGGTACATCAATCTTGGAAGGCGAAACCTGCCAGTACGAAGCGTAGTTTATGTCCTCCCAATTAAAAATTGGTAGGGATACCATCAAACCTTGTGGACCCTAAACGTCGTGAAACTGGACATGCTTTTGAGCATTCACTCCCGACTAATTTCTTTAGTTCTATCCACCTACGAACCCAAACCTTTACCATCCTTTCTGTCAATTATTAAACATTTAGAGACCTAAGCATGCACTTTGGTCATCACGTGAGATTATCCAATGCGCATACCATGATTACAACTTATAACGGTAAGAGAATGATGACACGACAATTTTCGAGCCGTTAAAGCTGCATCTGGTTTTCCAGTTTTAGTTGGTGTAAAAAAATCCGCCTTATGAAGAGGATTGCCGATCAGACAAAATTTCTGCAATTGAGTAGAGTATGAATTTTCCAACCTAAACTCTATTTGGGACTCAAAATTGCAAATTAGTGCTTACTTGGTTTTGCTGGAGGGAGCAATTTGAGATGGCTTTGTAGAGAGACAATACACAATCGTATGTTTTTAATTTGTCATGAACAGAAGATCGGAGTGGTTAAAATTTTGTAATATTGCGATAAGTGTGGGGTTTCAGAGGGCTTAGAAGAAACTTGCATATGGAGGATTAGCATCCTCGTAGAAACTTGGTCTTTTTACGCTTTTGAAAGGATGTGGAAATCATAACCTCATTGGTGCATTGTTTCATCACTCACTCACAAAAGTTCAGGTATTCTGTGAAGTCCTGAACTTCTGTGAAAGGAAGTCTGCTTAGAACCAGAGTATATTCCATCGCAGTGTGATGTATAAGCAGCTGAGCCTAACATTGGGTGCCCATGCCCAAATCCACCAATGCCCATGGGTTTTGGTTTGCCACGAGTTAGACATTATTGTTCATGGTGGGCAAGGTTGGTTATTGTTTCTAGGTGGGTATGGATGGTAATAGGTTCCAAATGGATGTATATAGTCTATCAATACTTCTTGACACCTCGTACGTGTTTGTCATGTCAATACTTCTTGAAACCTCGAACATGTTTGTCATGTCAATACAATGCATTAATATGACACGCGTCATTGGCGTTGAACTGAGGGAGTGCGAGAAAGTAAGCATTGCACAAATTAAAGCGTTTCATGCTTTCGCGGTTGGAAATTTAGGGAGTCATGGAGTGATGTTGGGGAGCAAATGGATGATGGACATAGGAGTCGCTCGGCCTTTTGAGCCAGAGCGTTGCTTTCGATACAAAGATGCGACATCGTGACGTACCTGCGGTCCTGTTCTGTTCTACGCAGGGACTCCCTCGCTTGCTCATCCATAGCTCATTCTTTACTCCCAATCGCTTGAAGAATCGGATGCCCGCCTTGACAAGTCGGTCAAGTTTCACTCCACTACGCATCAACACGAGTTCGGACTCGAGCTCTCGTGATACTGTTTGGAAATAGTACGCAGCCACTCCGTCCTATTTCCAAGCATTATAAGGATCGTTGGGCGTTGCAGTTGTGCTGAAAAAAACATAACACATGCAAAATCGCCATTGCCGAGAGTCGGTGCGCTTCCCATTGGAGCACTAGCAACATGTCTGTCTTCCGTGAACTCGTGCGTGGTTGGAACAAATCAAAAAATATAAATTTCTAAAGCTTGTCCCGCCTGATATGCGTGAAATATTAGTAGCTTCAAAATACCAAATCATAGCATCATTCGTGAGATCGTTCAAAGATACTTGTGAACCTTCTAGACACATGTTACCATATATATACATTATGTACCTTATGTATACATGTTACCACCACAAAGAAAACCACATGGTGTTACTTATGAAAGATACATGTCACGAATGATCTACTAACATCATGAGTATTCATAAGCATCTTAAGGCTAAAAGATCACAGAGTGTAGCAATGAACATATTTGCAACAAAGATCATTTTCACTAGACATGATAAGAAAAAGTGACACTTGCTACTGCCAATTTTTGTGTGATTGATTTCCTACCATTTGATTGAATATCCTGTAACCATCTTTAGTTCTGGTTCTAGTTCATCTTTAGTTCTAGTTCAATAATGCACGGTGATCGAGAAGGAATGAAAGAAGATATTGCCAAATGAAATTGATTGTTTATTTTTGCGATGCAAGAATCATGCTAGTTTGAACGTTGCTCTTTTGAAAAATTTTGGTATTGTATAATAACATGCTAAGTATTGTGAGTGCGCAAAGTGATTAAACTGCAAGAAAGTATACATGTTACCACCACAAAGAAAACCACATGGTGTTACTTATGAAAGACACATGTCACGAATGATCTACCAACATCATGAGTATTCATAAGCATCTTAACGCTAAAAGATCACAGAGTGTAGCAATGAACATATTTGCAACAAAGATCATTTTCACTAGACATGATAAGAAAAAGTGACACTTGCTACTGCCAATTTTTGTGTGATTGATTTCTTACCATTTGATTGGATATCTTGTAACCATCTTTAGTTGGTTAAAACTAAAGTAGAATTTACTCAAGATTGAATATAGTAGATGATAGTGGAATATCTACAGTACAACGTCAGCATTACGTGTGTTAGTTGAGTGTGCTAGCTAGTGTGTTAGTTCGGAACAACGCGTCATCAATCTATGTGCTTGTTAGTAAGGATTGGGTATGCTAGTTGGTATGTTAGTTATGAATGACACATCACCAATTTGTGTGCTCATTAGGTATATCTACCATGTAAGCTATCCTTTAGGAGGGGTTTGAATGGTGAGAAAAAAAACCTTGTGTATGTGTTTGAAGTATCTATATAATGGAGAGTAGAGCCATTAAAGTTTTCTCATCTTCAATGTAGATGTTTCATTTTTGAGTGATCTTCTCTCTAAACCCTAGTGTTACATAGTTGGATAAGATTTGAAAGAACTTGTTCAAACAACTTTGAACATAAGTGTTGCAAGCAATAAACGACTCATGATTATGACTCATCGATGAAAAGATTGCTTTGTTTGATAGATCATTGCATGTGAAGTCTGTTTGAGATGAATATCATTCAACCTTTATGATTTTAGACAAATTCAAAAAAAGTTTTGGACATTTTTGATATCAAAAAATTGATTGATAAAAACATCGTTGTGGATCAAACATTGTTTTCAAAGATAATATATCAAGCAAGTTTGACTTGTTATGATGTTTTGATCATAAAATTGAAAATTGTCTAAACTAAGTAGTCAACAAAAATATAGAAGAAGTCAATGATAAGAAAAACAATTTTTTTTCCGATACCTTGATTCTATACACTCTCATTTACATCTGTGAGAGTTTGGTTGAATACAGCTAAAAATCAACTTTTCAGTCAAAGTTGTCAAAAACGCTGAATCAAGAGAATGCAACTAGATGAAACTCACTCTCTTATTGCTTGCTTAGTATTTCTATATTGCTAAATAAGGTGATCAGTTTACTAAAGCAAAAAGATGCATTGCAAAAAGTTGTATCAATCTAAGAATTCTTTTTGAAATAAGTAAATGACTTGTTTTCATCATTTCAATAATCAACTCTTGATTTTGAACAATTCAAAAAACAAACACTGCACTAGATTGTATTGTGGCAATTTCAAATGTTAAAGCATTTAAAACCTGATGTGATTCATGACAATAGTGTCGTAAGGTCGAACTAAGATTTAGTTTTGATCATAGCTTGTAAGAGTAGATTAAGAGAAGATAAAGCTCGATATGGTCCATGTTGTGGCAACACATATGTATCCTGTCATGAGGAATCATATGTGCATGATGGAGATGTCCAAAGCTTTAGTTACTAAAAAGAAATACATCCAACTCCAAATTGGATTCAAACTTCACGGATGTAGGAAATACGCTAGCCAACGAAAGTGAACAACCTTTTGTTTGCAACAATGAACCATCTTTTGTTTGTCAAATCTAACCAAGAGTTGATGTAGGCAGGTAAAACACCTTATATAATTTTTTTAATAGATTGACTTAATTTGAAAAGCATGGGCGGGCATGGATAGCTGCTGATGGTTATGATTTGAATAGGTATAGAACTTTGAAGTTATATGTTGATCTCTAATAAGCAAAGAGCACATATTTGACATTTGAAGGAATTGATACATTTCTAGAAAATGATAGTAGTTTAGCAACTTGAGAAAACTTAGAGTTTCAATCTATAGACTCTCCAGAAATATTCACAAAACACATTTGGACATGGCAGCGGATTGACCCGACCCAGGTCGACCCGGGTCTGGCCCGACCCATTTTGCAAGATCGTGGTCAACCCGGGTTGACCCGAGCACCCGATTCCAAACCCAGGTCGACCCGAAGCTTTATCTTCACATCCCGCATGCTTGTTGCTCCGTGCGCATCGGGCCAGTTATCATCGCCGAATCCGATCGACGCCAGCTGTATAGCAGTCAATCACAATGAACCATGATGTATTTTGATCTTAATCATGTCGCT